CTTCCTATCATTAATTTAAAATAAATGTTTTAAAGTTTAAGTATATTCCCCTTCTAAATGCTAAATCTTATTTTCCGCAGATGGGGTTTTGTTTCAATTTTTATCATTTTTAACCCTATAAACTTTCTTTAAATCAAAGTATTTAACTTGTATTTATTTTAATAACTAGAACATTTTTTTAAAATTTATTTCTATGAACAAATTTTTTAAAGTTAAAATTTATGTTAAAATGGACTTATGTATTATGTAATATGACTTTTAAAAAACATGTATTTTCCCATAGTTTTTTAATTATTTCAATTTATCTAAATTTTCTTCTGATTAACTGATTCTGTTTTTTCTTAGAAGGCTCAGTTTTTTCTTAGTTTAGAAGTTTTTAACTTTAAACATTTAAAAGTATTTAATTTTATGCTAAGATATTACAAGGTTAACTTAGAAAAAGAATTTAGTGGTTAGAACAATTTTTTATAACAATTACTACCTAAAATTGCTATGAACATGCTTGTCTAAATACTTTGGGTGTTCCCTTTGGCATGCGGCCCTTCATTAGTCAATCTGCTGCGCATGTGGCCCTTCACTCAAAAAGGTTGTGCACCCCTACCATATTTGATACACAAATACTACAATAGAATTTTAATTTTCCTACTTGCAACCAAACATAATGGTGGAAGTTGTGTTTTATAAAACTTCTTTCATATATCATGATTTTTCAATCAAAAAGTTAGTTAATTAGTTCAAAAAGTTAGTTTCAATCAAAAGTTCTATTTCAGTTAATTATTTTGTAACATCTTTCAATGTGCCAGATCTATTGCTAACTCTAGATAGGTACAAAATAAGTTTATCGAATAGCTTACTTAAAGATATTATCAACCAATTTTTAACCATTTTAATTGTCCAATGTTTTAATACACTGAAAAAATGTAACTGTAACCTGACTGTAACTGTAAACCTGATTTTAATTTTCGAAAATACCCCTGCTTGGATGCAGGACAATCGGTGTTCAGCAGTATGCAAGTTTGCATAATTAACCCTAAAAGCAAAATATTTCTCCCATATTTTATTTTGAAGAATATAAGAAAATCTATGACAACTAATATAATTAAAACTCACTTTAACAAGTACTTTCTTCTTGTCCATAGGTTTAACAACTTCACCAACATAAGATCCTTGTTCTTGTAATAACTGTAACTCCTCACGCAACATCCGAACTATAAAAGATATGAATTAATTCAATAAATAATTAAATCAATAAACATTATAAAATGCTTGAATGCTATGCATTAGAATACTATAAGGTGGAAATCCATTAATTTAGAGATCATTAAGTCCTAGATTAGATTGCTTGGAATATTTTACTATGTTTTCATAAAATAACAGAGAAGATCCATTTATAATGCTTAGACACATAATGAAAAGAAATATATGCTACCGCCATGCAAAACGGTGAAAATTTCTAAATTACTCAGAGACTCAATTACCAAATGAATCATTAGGTTAAATTTATAGTAAAAAATTAATCAAATGTTCAATTCAATAGTCAGCAAGACTGACTAAGTTTCAATTTACTCCATAAGCTGAATAATTTAATGCATAGTTTTAATATAAAACTCTTACAGCTCCAGTGCCAGGTCTAACTTTTCTTGTTTTTTAACATTTTTAAGAAAAAATTAAAATATATCAAGCCATATAAATTACAATTTAAATATAAATCTCAGATTAAAATAATGAGAAAAAAGTATATTTGAGGGCTAATAGTAAAAAAAAAATTATTATATAATGCCTGATACGTAAAGAATTATTTCAAATGAGAGGTGTAGCATAGTAAGTGCCAAAGCATAAAAAGTATAGAATTTATGATATATTTACAACCAATTATTTTTTTAACTGCAACAAATATTTTTGTCACACTACTAAATGAAATCTCAATAATTACTTATCAGTTATTTGTATTTCTTTTTCAGGGTTGCCACTCAAATCTGGAAAAAAAATTCCCTGTGTTTTCCCTGAACTATTATACACAATATATTAAAAGAAAACAACAATTACTGTGCTCTTTTGTGAGCTATATAGGGCTAACTATATTTATTAGTTTTAATTGGTGGGAAAACAGCTGAACATATTTAAATAATGTTATAGTAAGTGAAATAGTTTAGTATAGCTGAAATATCATAGCTAAATATCCCATAGATTACGCTTTGAGTGGGTACCATTTTTTAAAAGACAAAAATAAGAAACAAAATTCCCTGTATTTTCCCAGTTTGCAAGGAAAAAATCAAAATTCCCAGCATTTTCCCTGTTATTTTAGGTGATTTTTAAATTCCCTGTATTTTCCAGGTTTTCCCTGTTCTCCATGTAGAGTGGCAACCCTGTTTTTTGAAGAAAAAAAATCCTGTTTCAGCTGTATAAAAGTATCTTAGTACACTGGCAAGATTTATATAATAATATTAATATCATAAGTTTTAAATAAAAATTAATAAGCTACTTTAAATAAATAAAAAAAAAGTACCTTTAGCATTAAGCTCATTCCTTTGAGCCTGAAGACGCCTTAAATTTTGAGTTTTTTCCGAGACAATAAGCTATAAAGAAAAATTAAGTGTTATAAAAAAAGCAAAACATCGAAGCATTAAGTTTACTGTAGTAAAAATTTACTTACTTGCAATTCTTCAATCTTTGTAATGTAATATTGTTTAAGGCCATCTCCTTTGGCATTTTCATCCACTTCCATCTAATAATACACATATATATTAATAAGTTAAACAGACAATATCAAACAGAGCATAAAACAAAACAAAACAAAAAAAAACTAGGAAACTAGCAAAAACTTGGAATTCAAAATTTGATTTTCAAATTTAAATGTGAAAGTTTTAAATACTGAATCAGAAAGAAAAACTGAATACTTTTACAGAACTTTTAAACCAGAGATTTCACTTATGTGCTATAACATGTCATATATGCCAAAAATCATAGAGGGGAGAGAGAAAAATAAAATGAGCTATGACAAGTCCCCTGGAATGCATAATTCTCAAGCACTGAAAAAAGTAACCATGCTGGGAAATTAATGCCATGTAATTATTTAATACTATAATCAAATTAATAATACAGTAGGGAACCGATTATCCGGAACGATCGGGACCATCGCTATTCCGGATAACTGATTTTTCCGGTTTTCTGATTGGCTGCAAAAAGCCGTTTTTTTATTGTTAAATCCAACTGGAAAAAATTTTTTTTTTGGAAATAATCTTAAAAAGAAGAAAAAACGATGGAGTAATACACTAATGATTATTTCCAAAATGATGGTAAGGTAAACATCTTTCAAAAAAGAAGGAAAAATCCTAAAATCTTATGAGGAAAAAAAATTTGTTTTTTAAATGGCGGGAAAATTTATCGAATTTCGTTCCGGTTTCTTGGTTTTCCGGTTTTCTGATTTCCGGATAACGGGTTCTGTACTGTATTAATTATAACTAATCTTTAAGTACATGCATATGCATAAAAAAATATTTTTTATTTATTTACAGCTGAAAGAGAAAATTGGAATAACTCTGAGTATCATGTTACATTGTTGCTGAGTATTATGTTACGATCTTCTATTTTGCCTATCAATATACAATAATAGAATACTTATAAATATTAACATAGGAATAAAGAGGCAGATATTTTAAATTGGGTACCAAAAAGGACTCAAAATTATGGAAATCCTAGGTCCTAAAGATATATAGTTTCTAAAGTCTAGTGGCATCACTATAGACTGTTTCTAATTTTGTTTTAAGGACTCGAATGTTAATAATAAGCTTTAAATCAAAATAATACTAAAATTGTTATAGCCGATACTAACAAATGTCAGCTAGATTTGATCCATTTACCCTAATAATAAATCAAAATCTAAAAGGGAATATGATAAACACAGAAACCAAACAATCAAGAATATGCGCAAGAAGTCAAAGACTCTCTGCACAAGGTACAAGTTACGTAATCTCTTCTATCTGATTCAAAAGACATGCCTTAAAATGACTACAAAATAGTCTAGAGATAACTATTTGAAATGTAAGTAGTTTCAAGGAGATATTTCTGTATAAGTTCTTTTTGATACATTAAAAAAAGATAGGTTGTGATTTGCCCACAAGAAGCTTTGAGTTTTAACCTTATGAGCTGGGCCCCTTGAATGAAATATATCTATAATACAGAATAACAAAATCCAGAAATGTTCACAATTTTTAGGCTGAGTAATATTAATTCAATATTGATCTTTAATTCGGTAACCACATCAATAAATTATGCTTAAAATTTACTTCATAAGCAGTAAAATAATCTAAATACTTTATTATTAACAATTTAATAGAAAAAATATCTTAGTCAAACAGTATTTATTGAACTAAGTAATTTTACAAACGTAAACTGAGAAGCAGGTCATATAAATTACATAAATGAACAATTAAAAGAATTCTGGACAAAGGCGGACGAACACATTCCATATCAACTACAAAAAAAATTCACGTAATCAACAATTTGATGGGGAAATTTGATTATCAGTACGTATTTCAAATCTCAAAAAGTTATATTATTAGTGACAGTAACTTAGTTCAATAAAAATGTGATTTAACATATATTCCGGTCAATGTTTACATTCTTAATTTGTAAATCTGAATTAGGGGGTATATTCACAGATTAAAACATTAATTAATATAGTTACTCTTTAAATAACAATATCCTATACCTTTCTTTACGTAAAATTACTATCAGGACAAATATATTTTTATATCAAAGCAGCTGAATAGTTTGACATCAATAGGGGATGGAGGTGACCATATACGAATACACTGAATCTTTTTATTAGGAAGTCATGCAATACAAACCAAACTCTTTATTCATATTAGATTTTCAAATTACTATAAATACATTAGTATATAAATTACCTGATCTTTTTCTATTTTTAATTCAACCATATTACCCTTTGATTTTGATACTTGCAGTTTCATGTTCTAATGTATGTAAGTTAAAGTTAATATTCTACTTTTCTTTTGACTCTAAATAAACGGTAAGAATTTATTCTTTTTAAAGCGTGATCGCACAAACGCAACCAAAATTTTTATAACTTGACAAAGCACCAATCAGATTTACGGTGTGGCGCTAGTAGTAGCTAAAGTCCATCTTCGGTATGATTTTGCATTTTTTACAAAGTAATCGCAGACTCTTTGATATTTGGTCAATTTAGGAATTGGTAACTGGGCGGAGTGAGCTTGACGCTAGCTTTTATCCATCAATCTTCTTATAACCCTATATTGATTGTGGAGTTTCATNATCACAATGCGAAAAGCCCATTGATCCGACGTTATCATTTCCTTGTTGCCATTCTGTAGTAGAAACTATGGTTTAAAATTAGTTACCAATTCCTTAAAAGATAGAGACCCGAACATAACGAGCACACAGTGATGGAATTATTTCGTATTTTCGTTTAAACATATTTTAAACTTATAATTTATCTTCTTAAATTTCTTAAATATTTTAAACTTATAATTTATTTCTTAAATATCTACCTCGTAAGTAATTTTTTATATTTATAAAATTTATAATTAATTTAGTTTATAAGTAACATTTCAAATTTTCATGAAGAATTGTAAAATCGTTTTCCATTAAATTTTTTTGTTATCATATAGCTTATATAATTTTAGCTCAAATCACTCATTATTTTTAATCTTGCATGATGAACAATCTTAACATACACATTCCTTTTAAACGCAATCTCATACATTTTGTTCGAGTGAAAAAAAATTTAAAACAGATATGTTTTCATTTCAAAGCACTCGTGAGTAGCATTGATTATTTTAACAAATTTGATGATTTTGTTAACAAAATCAATCATCTCTTAGTAAGATAATTATCTTACTAAGAGCTGGTGCACACACTACACATTAATATGCTAAAGGGAAAATAATTCAAAAAATTGCTTCTTTAAAAAAATAAATAATGAAAGTTTTTATGTAGTAATTTTTAAAACTTATGAAAAAAAAAATTTAAAAATCCTTGACCTATATTTTTGCACTAAGTCTGCTTAATTTGTTCTTTGTTTACTTTGTGTCATGTAACGGAAGCTTTATGAATTTTATAAAAAATTTTGCACTACAGGATTCATTTTAAATTCATTTGACATGAAAGATGAGCTATTGTATATGTATTCCAGAAACCCAAGTAACACCTAATATTAGGTAACATCAGAAAATCGGTAAAATTTAACGTTATCTTGTACAACTTCTAATCTTAGAAAGATACAAGAGGTCGCTGTTTGCTCTGCCTTACATAATATTAGATTCTATGTAAACTAATATTATCTAGCTTTCACCATAATATTATTTGCATTAGTTTTGATGCTATATAATATTAGAATATATATTTTCTGATATTATCTTGCGGTGCTTTTTATTTTTTGGAGTAAGTAAGAGCAAGATATGGATGGTAGTAGAATAATTGGGCGACATAATTTTACTTAATTTTCTGTATTGCTGCGAAACAGTAAAGCATAGAACAATAGTTTTATAATGTCATTCCAAGCATTATTTTCTTAGCGATACAGAAATACTAAATGAAATTATATTAGTGAATTCTGCAAACCATCCATTTTCCTCCTTCTTACCCCAAAGTATATTTTATGTTCAGCTGATTTTTTTAAATATTTCAAATTTAATTAAGAAATACTATATTGCAACTTTTATTGCTATTAATAATTTTGAAATCATTAATTTAAAAATATATTCTTAATTTTTTTTTAGAAATGAGCCTTTCTTATCAAAATTTTAATTTAACTTGTTTATAAAAGCTGTAACTTAAGCCATTTTTAATTTTACAATTAACATTCATTACTTATATTCTGAAATTATGTAATAAAAACCACACTACATAATTATAAAGTTATATATTTACATTTGAACTGAGTGGAAATTTAAACTTAAATTTTCCTTTCTTATAATATTAAATTAAAATTATTCAATTTTTAAGTGGTCATTTCTTGTAATAATTGACACAATAAAGAACAAAATTTAAAAATATTCAAATTACTTACTTCAACAAATTTACACATTTTCTGCCCCTTATTTTACAGAAATTAAATGTAGAAATACTTACATAGCTTTATTCTTTCAGTATCTGAAATTTTATTTAACAAAACACCTGAAACAAAACCCAAACGCAACCTAGAAATTTTTCCACGGAGAGAAACCAGGAAAGCAACTAATACTATGAAAATCGTTAATATTTTTTTATAATGTAAAAATAACTTTCATGGGCACATCAGAAATTTTCATCAATTCGATAATTATTTAAAGGTGTCATGTACTAAACCAACAATCTTTGCAAACAATTTACATAACATTTTAATTTCAAAACTGCCAGTAAATATTATATTTTACCTAAATTAAATTACATATACTACATGTAAAAAAATTTTAAAAATATATTTTANATCAATTCGATAATTATTTAAAGGTGTCATGTACTAAACCAACAATCTTTGCAAACAATTTACATAACATTTTAATTTCAAAACTGTCAGTAAATATTATGTTTTACCTAAATTAAATTACATATACATGTAAAAGAATTTTAAAAATATATTTTAGATCAAAACAAGGAAAATCGTGATCATGGCTGTTGTTGACATCGCCATCCATAAAAATGTATTTCAGGATGGTATGTATTTTCATATTAGCCTAAAATAAAATTTTAAAATGCCATTCCTTTACCATGCTTGTCCAGGTTAATGGCAACTAATTTAAAAGTATTCAAAAATTTTAAGTTATTGTAAATTATAATTTTCTGATAAAGTAATTGCAATAATTAATTTGTAAAATTAATTGAATACCGATAAAGTAACTGAAATGATTGTAATTGTGTGGTGTTAGAAAAAAATTCAAAATTTCAAGAAAATTATTTTTAGAAAAGCTTCTTTTCTTATTTTTAATACACATTTATAATTTTTTTTTCTTCCATTTAGCCCGTTTCTAGAGATTTAAAGTACTAATCCATAATTATTGTAACTTTAGGTATTATAATTCAGCAAATTAATCAGCATATTGTTCGATTTTGTGCTTACATTTGTATATTTGTTGGCAGGGGCCTCAGAACCATGGGTGTTCGGTCCTACCAAATAATAGGATAGCCATCATCCATTATTTCACGGAAATATTTTTCTTTTCTTTGTCTTTAGGTTCTATATCTTTTTCTCTCTTTTTTATATCTCTCTCCTTTTTTTTTTTTACATAGTGAAATTTATTATATAATAAAAAGAAAATTAATTGAAAATAAAATTCACTGCATAAAAAAATAAAATAAGTGTTTAGAGAACTAAGAATCGTCCCTGTTGCCATTTCCTTCAATAAGTAATAAAACGCTCTTTGCACCATATTTTTTCTCCATGCTCTTAACTGATAACTATTTATAAGCTGATACTATGAAGCATCCCTTGTTCTTCAACATCATCCACAAAGAACCACAATAATAGCCGCCTCAGTTTACGCTATGAGAAAATGTCCTTTACATTCAGAAATTGTCTTAATGGTATTCACCATAATTTTTTTAAATATTCACTCGAGTGAATGTGAGCTAGGTGACGAACTAGGTGACCCCACTTCCAAGCTATTTAGGAAAGTAGTACGATGACATTCAACAATACCTTTAAGGTCATGTTTTTTCTCTTATAACAAATTTAGAAACTTGTGTAAGAGTTGTTTTTCCGAATTACTTTACTATTCTAGCTTTCATTGCAGAAATGAGTTTTTGACAAAGTTAGGAGTCTGTTTTATCGCATTGTAATCACATGAGGACATCCTCTTTTGGCATCCTTCTTCACCGTTACCATAATTAAGGTTTTCCTCTCCGTGTAATGCAAATGTGGTTAGTTCCATCAAAAAGTCCTCCCTGAAGATAAATTTCTCCCAATACTATACTTGATCCAAGAGTTTCCTTGTCTTTCGGATTGGGTTATGGAGGTAAACATTAGTAGTAGTAAACCCCAAAACTGGGTCGGCTATTCAACGATGGTTATAAAATAAAATCTAATTGGTTTTAAAGTTTTTAATTACATTTGTCTTAAGGGTGATTCTTAAGATTTCAATACCGTTTTTTCCCGCTTTAAAATATTAGTTTGCGACTCCTAATATGTATATAATTTAAACTTAATTCTAAAAGACGTTCTATAATTATATATGAGGACATAGATTACGGAACACTCTGCATGATATTAAAATGTTTCAGTTTTCATAATTATGTATTGAATGTTAGTAAAAGATATTGTGAAACATAATTATTTCATGTTTTTGTCATACATTAAGTAAAAAGTTATAGATGTATTTCGATTTATATATATATATATATATATATATTGACTTAAGTACGCTCCCCCAAATAAATTTTATCTGACAACACCAATGTCTGGGGGAAAGACTAAGCATATAACTTTGAAAGACTTCTTGCAAGTTCTATTTCAGCTCTTTTTGTTGACTACTATTACAGCAGCCATATTATTTTTATAATTGTAAATAGTTTGTAATATTTTCCGTGAATAAATACAGGGTGCTCCAAAAAATCGAATATACACTTTGAACTATCGTAGGCAATTTATTTCCTGTTCTACAAGGTTAAATTTCTGGTAACTTTCTTTACCAACAGTTTATATTACTTATGCCACTTCACAACCAAAATCACTGTGCAGACACGATTACTTTTGCAATTGCAAGGCTCGAACCAAAGAATATAGAGGGGCTCTCTCGGCTGGACTTGCATAGTTTTACATCACACATTGCCTTCTGAAGCAGTTTTATTAGCAGAACATTATGAACTCCTTCACAAATTCCTTTAATGTGCTCCTTTATAGGAAACTGAGGACCTGGATCAATCTTTACAGATAGTAGTATCCAATAATTGATTTATAGATCTATATAAAAATGTTCCTTCACAAATTCTTTTAATGTGCTCCTTTATAGGAAACTGAGGACCTGGATCGATCTTTGCAGATAGTAGTATCCAATAATTGATTTATAGATCTATATAAAAATGTTCCATTAAACACAAGAGGTTTTAATTACTGAAAGATTTTACTTGCAGAAAATCCGACATCAAAAAGTTGTTTAGCCATCAATCTTTTCTATTCCATCTTTAAATTGATTCCGAATATTTTGCTTTAAAGAAAAATCATCTGCACTTAGAGAAAGTGCCACTCACAGGAATAGTAAGAAAGTTTACAAGACAATTAAAATTAATTCCTATTCTTTGTTTTTTGGAGTGTTACAATATTTAGTAGCCACCCTGCATATAAATATACATATTCTCAATGTAAAAGAACGCTTCATAATAATTTTTTTTAAACCAATACAATTACAATAACAACTCCTCTAACCAATACGAAACCAATACAATAACAACTCCTCTAAGTTTCCTATGAGGATTAAGTATTTTTCACTCTTCCTTTTTTCAAAATGAATTTCGATAGTATTTTTGTTCTTAACTCACTTCAATATTATTAATTTACGATTCCTTAAAATGCTTACTCTTTTGACTTCATTTCTAAAAAAAATTTCTAAGAGCATATATTAGGGGTGACAATTATGGAAAATCGTGTATGAGGAATTCTCGTTTTAATTGGAAAAATAATCTTTTCACTTCCTCAAAATAAAGAGCTAGATCTTAGATGTAAAATCATACAACTCTGGATAAATATTCTTTGTTATTCTTACAACTCTGAATAAATATTCTTCGCGAATCAAAAACGCAAAATCAAAATCTTGATCAGCATACTTTGACACTGATTTATACTAATCATTGTAGAAGCACACTCTAGTTTATCAATTATAATAGTGGGAATAGAAATAGTTTTACAAAAGTGAATTTAAATCCTACATACTAAAAATGATATGGATTAATTACAGACACATAGAACACAGATAATCCAAAAAGGTGAATAATACAACAATTCAGTGAGTTATGTAGCCTATGCTTGCTACTGTCTAGAAAAGCAATTAATAGAAATGATCTGATATGGTTGTGAATCTCTTAAATTTAAATGATGCACTGAGTATATTTTTCTTCATTTCACACTGATTTGAAAACACAAAAAAAGCTAATTTAAACTTCAAAACCATATTTTATTTCACCCTCTAACTACGTACATGGAATTGAAAAATTAGATACTATTCTATGTAAAAGGTAAACATATCACAGCAATTAATATCCTTTTACATAGTTGATGGAATCAGGAAATATATGCCACAATAAAATTTATTAGACAAACACTTCCATATAAAAATCATATAACTATCATTCAGACTGGTCACTATCAGATTCACTCAGCTTCAAATCCTCACCTAAGAATTACACAAAAAGAGGAAAAAATTAATTTTGTTTATGACAACATGGTAAAATTTTTTCATGAGAGCATGCAAATTTAATGACAAACTGATTAGAAAATGTTAAGATAAGATTTAAAATCAGTAATCAGTATCAATATTTCTCTAATTAAACAACTAAGAAAAAGAATTTCAATGACTTACCAGAAAATATAAAGCGTCAAAATAATTATGGTCCCTTGATTTATCACTTTGATTATTTTATGCTTATTGCATTAATAATATCAACTGCTCTTAAATAAAATAATAAAAAAATTAATTAAACTTTGAAATCATAAATCTAAATAATATAAGATTTGTAACTGTATATTTAAATTAATAATATGTATTAGATAAGTGACAGGCCTTTCACTTAGCAATTTTTTTTATAAATCTTACATTATAGAAAATATTGAATCTTTTTCCCCTCATAAAACAAATAAAGAGAAGGGAAAATTCCTAAAACAGCAAAATCTACTAAGATAAATAGGATGCCTTAGTACTTTGTACAGTTAGAGAACAGTTGAATGTATAGTTTGTGATTTTAGTGATTTTAAGCTATTTCCCCTGATTTTTCCAAAAATAGGAGGAAGTTGGTATCCCTGCATAATAATTACAAAAATGTTTAAAAATTTTCATGAGTTATCAGAAAACAATTATGACAGTAATATTCCCATTTAAAGTAATGAAATTCTTTATTTCTATCCCAATATAGCTGCCAACACAAAAATAAAGTATACTATTGTCACTAAGTATATTATTGTCATAAAATATATCTTATACTTAATTCTCCACAGTGAATTACTTATTTGAATCAGTTAAAAAATTTTGTTTTAAATATTAACAAGTTATATGCATCTTTTGGTCCAGATTACAGTATCATAAGATACTGTACCTAATAACTGTTTCAGAAATTTCGTAAGCAACGAGTCTGTTCTTGGTACAAGTAACAGCTTTTATATGAGATTGATTTAAATTAATCCATTAGTATTAGTTTCAATTTCAAAGTAAACAATGAGCCAAATAAATGCATTTTGATAGAGATTTCCTTCTCAGGAACTTTCTCAATTTCAGCGAATGTTTTTGAAAGACATAAGAGAATTTCCGATTACGCAAAGAGACTGGGAGAAACTGGAAAATTTCATTACAGTGTTAGAAGCTGAGATATATGTTCATCTCATACATTATTCAGAAGAAAAAAAACTGAAAAAAAATAATGATTTAAAATATAAAAATGTTTTGTAAATTTCATAGAAATACTTACTCAGCAGATTGAACTTTGGCATGCTGGGTAAGGAGTTGGAAGAAGACATACTGGGCATAGAAATACCAGATGGCATACTCTTACTAGGCATGGAATTAGCTGAAGGCATACTAAGAGTGTTGGAAGAAGAATATGCACTCGATCTTTCTTTCTTATGGTGAGATTCAGCAGCACCATTAGATAGATCTAAAAAAATTTAATCATAACCTATGTAACATATTTTTATGACTTTTTTTAAAACTATAAAATTTAGTTAAATTCACACAAAATATAAAAATGGCTTGAGACAATATAAAAAGCCAGATTTTCATACTGTTCAGGACAGTTTTTATTGTGAAAAACACAACAACTTCCGTGTAGGTAATAATATTTTTTTTTTTTGTATGGCGATGTTATCAAGTGGAAATTCTAGAATTTAGTAATGTGTCTAAAAATAACCTTTAAATAAAATATGCTTTTTAACAAAATAGCTCCAAACCCTTCATGATCATATAAGACTTTTAAAAAAATCAACACAAACAACTTATAAAAATTCTGCAACTGTATTAAGTTAACATATGCAATAATCAGAAACTTAAACCTCTTAGTAAAATTTACTTTTTGTAATGATTACTGCAGTACAGACAGTAAAAATTTTACACAGTTTTCAGTAGTTTTACAATAAAAAAATGACAAATTTAATAATTAAACAATATTCTTATTAAACAACACACATCACACACTAAAGACCAAAATATTACTAAAAGAAAATTAAATAAAATAAAATTACAAGAATTCAGCACTTTTTCTTTAATCTTGTTGAAAATTTTTGCAATGGCAGAGTTAGTAGTTAAAAGATAAAAGATAGAAAGGGGGAAAATGGAAATTATATTGTAGGGGAAATCTATCACAATTGATAAGTTTTACTGAACTAAAGTATAAAGAAAATAAAATAGAATTAAAGGGTTATAAAATAAATGAATTGCATTTTAACTAACTTACTTTTTCCTTCAAATCTTAGTATGACTTTTGATGCAAGATTTTTAAAAAAATGGACAATGAGTGTAAAAGGGAGAAAAATAAGATTTTGCTTCTTAAAAATAATAATAAATACAAATGAAATTTTTTTAATAGATGAAATAAATTCTGAATAAATTCTGCAGAACTCGTATCTTAATTTGTTAAATTCTTTTTACACTTAAAACTTCCATGATATTAAACAAAATTGAATAAATAAGTAAAAATTATAATTCTTATTTATTATCTTTGTAATTAAAATTTTATTACAAGATCAAGGTGAATTTTAAAATGCTTATAATAATCTTGCTTAATAAAGTTTTATTAAAATTTTAAAAAATGCTCTAAATAGTGAGTGGAAAAAACATAACATTAATTAAAATTATTTATTAAAATGGTACTGATGTAGTATCTGAAATGTAGTAAAATAGTACCTAGCACCACTAGATTAGATGTGATTGATTATCTAAATCAGTTTTCATGTCTAATAATGGGTATAAACACACTAGAGTTAAAATTATGCGTGATCATTTTATCAATCGCTAATATTTTTAGAATTTCCAAAGTTGATTGTGATTTTCCCAGAGAATTCTAGGTTTTCCCATGGTATTTTCAAATTCTCTGAGAATTACAGGTTTTTCCTATTTCCCGAGTTAGTGGTCACTCTTTTTTTTGCAGCTGTAATAAAAGAAATGCGGTGGAGGTAGCGATCAATCGTGATGCCTATTAGTTAATTTTTAGTAGAGAAAGATTCAGTATTTTTGTCACATATTACATTAAAATCTGTGAAAAACATCAAAATTAGACTTTTTTCCTAAGACAATAATTTGCATAGCTCATAGCAAGAGGTAAAATCGTGTAGATAATTGTAAAATTGAGAAATAATTGTAATGGTTAGAGTTTTTAAATACTAAAAAAGTAATAAAAAAAATAACGATCATTTTCCTTAAGAATAATTTTAAAAATGAGCAAAAAACATTTAGCAGCATACATGTACAACTAAACATTTTTCTAAAATATTGTAAGAGAATACTTTTAAATTACCATGCTTGTGAGATTTCTGATTCATAGACATCTCTTCATGATCACTAGATTCAGAGTCACTAGATTCCCCACTACTACTTGATTCACTAGAGCTACTAGATGAAAGAACTCCGACTTCTGGAGCATCTGAAAAATAAGTAGACTCAAATTTGTGCTTGGATACTTATATAACCAAAGAGTTTATTAATAAAATTCCAATGGTTCAGAGAAGGGAAAAATTTAAACAAACAAGTATATGGCTTTCTTATGGAAATAGTTTAATTTTAATTAGAACTTATTTATAAGAAAAACTTTATTGAAACACCTTTAGACAACAGCGCAAATAAAAATTTCTGTAACTTTCATATTTTTTTTTATTTAAACATTTAGTTCAGATTCGTTAAAAGAAAGCTATATTAAATACTTACTTTTTGTAATAGCAAAATTGTTACTCGATTTAATGATCAACAGAATTGATAAAATATATGAGCATGATTGTTAAAGAAATTTTGAAAATTAAAATTATGAGAATTAAAATTTTAAGAGCCTGAATACAATCTGGAATTTTACAACTTATTATTAAATATATGAAATTAGAAAGCATTCAAATCTTATAATTTATGAATTTATATACCTTATTCATATTTAAAAAAATGAAGACATATTTTGTAGAGATAATCATGGACCTTACGGACATTCTTTAATATTTTTAAATTTAAACTTATAAAATTTGTCCCACCTGAATAGAGCGTCATTGATTTAAATTAATAGTTAGTATAAATCAAGATTTTAACTAGTTGATATGTGGGTACTTACATATTATACTGCGCTTATATTTTTGCCCAAGTCTGAAAATAAATTTAGAAATAATTCATATTTAAAAATTATCTCACTTTTAGCATGTGATAAGTTGCATTTGTATTTTGTCAATTTCTTTATAATCAAAAATTATACTAAAATAAATTTGAAAGATATCAGAATGATTTTGTCATGATGGCAAAAATGGTTGACAGGATAATAGGTAAGTACCTTGATTTTTAGAGAAAACAAAAGGCATTAATTTAAATCATTAAAAAAAATTAAGAAAATTTGTTTTATTTTTTCAGGTATTTAGGGAAGTGAGAGCAAAACTGAAATATTTTTAAAGTGTAAAAAAAAATTAAAATATTATAAAAGCCTAGCCCTTACACAATAACAAACAAACAAACAAATATATATACAGTGGAACCCCGATTTTACGTTGTCCGTTTCGTACGTTATCCCGCTTCTNTAAGCAACAAGTGGTTTTTCGGCCACAGCTCCCCAACAAAGTATAAGATAGCCATGAAATTGCAGTTTAATATGCACGTAATTCAGTAGAAAGATTATTTGTATGCAAATTTTAGAAATAAAACGTCGTAGGTGACATAAGTGTACGTTAACCTTGTGGGTCGGCGCGCGCAGGTCAAAACTGTGGTAAAAGGATGAGGAGCACCGCAGTTAAAGACATTCACTGCAAATGCAAGTGATTTGTTTTGTGAAACATGTCTTCAAGAAATCATTTAGACGACTTTACTCAAGGAAGAATGATTGGGAAGCTTGAGGAGGGGCATAGTGTGACCAGTGTCGCCGAAGAGTTTGGGATCAACAAAAGTGTTGTTTCTCATGCTTGGAATGCCCTTAAAACTACTGGTACAGCTGTTCGGAAGATTGGTGGTGGCCGTCCAAGGCAAACAACACCAAGAGATGACCGTTACATTGTCCTCCAGGCAAAAAGAAACCGTTTTCAGTCAGCGAGCGCCAAATCTCAGCAACTGTGCACAGTCACAGGACGACAAGTATCAAGATTTACAGTGGCCAGACGCCTCCACAAAGGTGGCTTATTTGCTAGACGTCCTGAACGCTGCATACCTTTAAAAGTTAGCCATCGGCGGCACCGTTTAGAGTGGTGCAGAGAACACGAAACCTGGACACCTCATCAATGGAGTCGCGTCCTCTTCACAGATGAGAGTCGTTTTAGTGCTACAAGCGATTCTCAACGTCAGTTGATCTGGAGAGAGGTTGGAGCTCGATTTCATCCCAATAACATCGCGGAAAGAGATCGTTACGGTGGTCCTGGAGTTGTCGTCTGGGGTGGCATTATGTTGAACGGGCGGACTGAGCTTCAGATCTTCGACCGAGGTTCTGTAACTGGAGACCGCTACTGCAATGAGGTAATCCTACCCCATGTGCGTCTGTTCCGAGGGGCCATTGGACCAGACTTCATTTTTATGGATGACAATGCCCGGCCACACCGTACTGCTGATGTTCAAGAGCTACTGGAAAGTGAAGATATCACACGAATGGATTGGCCAGCTTACTCTCCAGATCTAAATCCCATAGAGCATGTGTGGGATGCATTAGGGAGACGTCTTGCGACACGACAGTATCCTCCTGGTAACACCCATCAGCTGAAAGATGCGTTAAAGGAGGAATGGAGACGTTTACCCCAAGAACTCCTGGATAATCTGGTGCTTAGCATGGAGAGACGATGCCAAGCAACAATTACAGTAAGGGGAGGGCATATCCCATACTAGGGAACATCTGCCAGTTGTACTTACGCTTCTTCAGGCAATCATGTGTAACGCCACTATATGTCAAATAAAGCCTTTTTTTGTTCCATACCCTACTTTAAGCTTTATATTCATTTCTGCGCCATTATTCTTTTACCATCGTTTAAGTACAAAATAATGTACATCATATTCAAATTTCATGTCAATCGGATGATTTCTTGTAGAGTTATGACAAAAAAACGCACTTGTTGCTTAAGTTTTGCACACAAGTGTATATAATGAAATATAACATTAACTTATTACATAAAATTTCTAACAAAAAAAATTATAGAATATATTACGAGCAGCAGCAGGTTCTTCGCAGGAAAGAGAATGGCTGGGAACTTCTGGAATGGCTGGTGGCTTATAAGAAGACAGTGCATTCAGGCAAGGCATAGAAGAATTTGAATTTCCGTTTGGACTTGGGTGATTGCCAATTGGGCTTTTAGGAAGAGGTGAGCATTTCTGATTAGGAGATGATCGTCCAAAAGTTGAATTGGGTTTTTGGTGAGGAGATAACTTATGAGAAGGAGGCGACTTCTTACTGACGTAATTGCCTTCTACAGGTGTACTTGATCTTATTTTACTACTTCCTTCAGCCCTAAATAAAAGATATTAAACAATATTAAACATTGCAAAAAATATTAAACAATTTCAGCAATGAATATTATTTTTAAGTTCAGAATAAAGATAAGCAATGAAGGGTTTTAGTTTGAGGATTGGGGTATTTTACCTACCTTATTTGACTACTTTCTTCGGCCTCAATGAATAGTTTTAATTTTACAAAGGGGAATTTTAGATTTACTATTACCTACCTTTATTTATTTTATTTTACTACTTTCTTCAGTCCTAAATAAATTTAAAATAGAAAATGTTAAAAGATATTTTAAAAACTTATTTTTAGGCATAAGGAGATTTAAAAACTTATTTTTAGGCATAAAGATTTCCGAAATAGCGATAATACCCCAACACAAATTAGCAGTAAAGTTGAGAAAAGTGGAATTTTTGAACTTTCTAGACTAGAGTAAGAACAATTATTATTATATTCTTTAAATTAATAAATCTTATGGTTTTGTAATCATAAAATCAATAAGATTTTAAAATGTATTTAGAGAAAAATTTATCATGAATTGTAGAGGGTTACTAAATGATAGCATTAAACATTGACAATTTTTAATTTTGATACAATACTTTGAGTATGCAAACAATAAAATGTATTTAAGAGCTTTAAACTTTTATTTTAAAATATCTTTTAGCTTTTCATAAAATTTTAATAATTTATATTATTAATTTTCAAAAGCAATAATTTTAAACAAGATGGATTTTTACAATGCTATTTTACTTTATGAAAGGTGACAACACTAAAAAATGTAAAAGTTAAAGTGTTTTAGTGGTCGGCAACACTGGAGACCCGCTGAAATAACAAATAATTTTTTTTTCTCCTAAGAAATTATTTTAATGCTGATTTAAATAAATTAATAAAAAAAATAATATTGTCATGTGGGGAAAAAAACACTTTGATGCTTGAAATAGGAAAAAACTATAAGAAAAAGTTTTAAAATTACAAAAATGATTTTGTGAATGGGAGACTGGCAACATAAGTTAGATATGTAAAATGAAGAACACATTATAGTTTTCCATGTGTTGGTAATGCGCATGATATTATGAATAAATCTTTAAGATAAAATAAAAAATAATAAACAAAACAAAAAAAAGAAAAATTTAACATAATGTTATGAACGAGCTTTGTTTTTCAGCATTAGTTAAAAATTGTGATTTAAAGTTTTCTTTACATTTTGAGCAAAAGTATTACTCAAAAATATAATATACTTAAAAATAAGCATAATAGGGAATTTAATGAATACATTTCCTTTTTTAAGAAAAAATAAAGCATTGAATGTTTAAATTTTCTTCAATAATTATGAAAAAACAACAATAGTTCATCATTCAGATTTTAATTACAAGAAAATTCTCAACCTTTAACAGAAGTTTAGTAACTTTGATGCAAATATAAATATTTTAGTTAAATAAGTAAAGTATTTTACTGCTTTAAGAAAGAAAATTACTTTTCGAATGAGCAACAGGCCTGTTGGTCATAATTTTTTTTCTTCATAATAATAATAAAAAAACTAGGAAATAAAAAATTAATGCACAGAAATATCATGAAACCTAAATATCTACATCCATATCGATATCAAGCGTCTTTGAAGTGATTGATAATATGAAAGCTCAATTAAAAAATAACAATAAATATTATTATATGTTTTATAGTCTCTTTCCAGTCAGCAGTGTCGAAGAATTTGGTAACTTAGTTTGAAATTTGGTTAGAAAAAAAAGTCCTAATTTTTTTAAAGTGTGGCTTACTCCTTCATTTTTATTTTCTTACATTTTACCTTAATCAAAATCAGTTTCTTAGTGTTTTTTGCTTTTAATATTTATGATCCAAAAAATTATTCAGAGTTAGTTAAATGGAATGTGGTAATAGATTATTATATATTTTGAATACGCTTACCTTGTCTTTTTAAGTTGCACATTATAACTCAACTTTTCAAGAGTTATCTCTCCGGTGGTATGATCAATAATCAGAACACATTCTTTTTGGTAAGGTTTCTTGGAACCTTTAAATACAGTATTGGCAGTACCAGATCCCTATAAATCAAACCATAGTGATAAAAAAACAAGCATAAAAACTATATTTCTAATGAAAGAAATCATAATTCATGGAAAAATTAAAACAAATCATTAAGATTAACAAATAGTAACAGAAAAAAGATAAGAAACTAAGAAATCAGCAAAAGTGAGCCTAAGAAACCATCAAAACGGAATGAAAAGAGAATAAAAAATCAGCAACAAAAATCTACTTTTTAACTACTAACTTTAATCTGATACTGTTGAAGTTATATTGGTTAACAAAAATATAAATAAATGAATAGATAAAATAAAAATAATAAAAAGTAAATCTAAAAATTTTTGCATCCAATTAAAGAAAGTTTTGTAAATTTTAGCGCAACAAATATAAATCTTCAACAAAAAACTCATCTCCTGATCTAACCAAAAGCACAGTAGAATTGATGATTTTATTGATTTCTTATAACATTAAGTAAAAAAAAGTCACTTTCTTTTTCCTTTAGCTCTTTTTATCTAGCATTAAAGAAAATATTTCACGTTTTATTTAATTTTATTTTTGCACAAATTTTGCAAAAACTCGAATATAACAAATATTCTAAAACAAATATTTTGAGATGAAAGAGTGGGCAAAATTTTAGAATTTATCACATTCCTGTGCTTTTAGTTACCTTTAAAATGATTTATAACATCAAAAAAAATGTTTTAAAAAGAGCATGACTTAAGAATAAAACTATTTATTCTATTATTATTTAAAATAGAACATAAAAAAAAACATAAATCAAACTGAATGTTTTAACATAATATGTTTAATAAATATTGTTTAAAATATTGCAAAACTCTTAAAAGTTTGGAGTTATTAAGAGAATAGAAACTTAAAAGTAGCAAAATTGGATTTCCCCCCCCCCCCAAAAAAAAAACTTATTAGAATCACCATTATATATTTCTTATTCTTTCGTCTTCAACTTTTGTAGTCAGTATTATCAAAGCACTATAATAAAATAAAGAAAAATCAGATCATTATTTTGTTTCCAATTTTGAAAATCTTGGTTAACAAAATTTCTTCAACCTCATTTATGTTGTACTAGAACTGCACAGTGAGCTATTGGCGATGGTCTGGGAGACATCCCTGAGGATGATCCAAAGACATGCAGGGGCCCCCATCAGGGGGGAGGGTGGGCGCACGATGCGCCCACTTAAAGCTTGGGGGGGTTTACACTAAATAAAACGAATAGTTTGGGGGGGAATTTAGAATTTGCCCAAGAATGCGCCCAAGAGCTTGGGGGGGGGATGGGGGCCACTGAAGACATGCCACCACAATTTTCATCCTCTGGAGATGGGATGGCTCCCCCAATTCATCTTCTGTCTCTTTGCAGGCTGATCAAAGTCGTCATACACTAGAGATAAGTTTGAGCTCGCTTTTGGAGGTCCGAGCCTGAAGAAATTTAATCAGGTTCGAGATAAATATCAGATACAGGTCAAATTTTGCAGTCTCACTAGTAGGCTTTTGCTGCCTAAACAAGGAAATAAGTCATTAAAACCTTTTTAATATTTTTTTTTACACTTCATAACTGTCGACCAGACTGTGTAGGGGTCAGGGAACTGGATTTGTATAAGCAAGGTTTTGGGTTCGAATACCGGACAAGGCATAGATGTTCTTTTTTTCTCCGTACTATCTGTCCTTACTAAGGGAGCAACCTTGGCCCACCTAATATGGTGCCTCTGAAAGAGTACCCCACAAATCTAACCTAATACGCCTGAATTCACGAATGTCAACCCAGGTGGGAATTGAACAATATTACTTAATAACTGTAACAAATGTTTTTCTTTAAAGTAGTAAAAAAGTTCATGAAAATTTTATCATAAGTCTGTACCCGCCCAAGCCTGAAAACTTTTTCAGTAACGGAGCCCTGAAGCGACCCCGGGTTTTAGGGCTGAGTCCGTCTCATCCATATCATAAATTCGTTCAGTGATGTTCAATTATGGTGATCTACTGGGAATCGAGTCTTACGATCAGTTTAATGCAAAACTGACAACCATTCAATAAAATATTCAGTGCTTACCTCAATGTGAGGAACAGTCACGGTAACCTGATGACCATCACCAATGTCCACTGTTGCTCTTTTAGATGTATCAACAGATGCTGGCATAAAATCATCTAAAATAAAAAGTGTTATTGTTTAATAATAAATTCAGTATTTAAGAGTAAAAACTTAGAAAGGACTTGAGAACACTCACGTTGATGAAACTTAAAAGAGCGTGACACAGTAAATTAGAAACAAATTAAAGAGATCCAAAAAATTAAAAGAAAAAAAAATATCATCAATCATATATGATTTAAATTAATATCTTTAAGAATAAAAAAAACAATTTTTTCCTCTTTAATAAAAAAAAATATTGCAATCATATTTCTAAACAAAAATGGAAGTAATAGGTCTTCGACATTTTTGGTTGATCCTGTGAATTTTGTTCCATTCAATAAAAAGCACAGAGCACTTAAAGTTTAAATTTCAAATAAAATACAGTTTACTTTATTTTTAAATTTAATATCAACATTTTTAATATATCATAACACAAATAATATTTATGCATGGAATAACAAACTAAATTATTTTGATGTCCATTAATGTTCTTTTAATGAAATCGTTAATCACAGTTCCTTGTGTAAAAATCTTAAGTACTATTGATATAAACTTAAAACTTCAAAACGTTAAAAAAATAATAATAATAAATAAACGTTAACTTGGTGGCTAATGGGTTTATTCTTTTAACTTAACAGATGATTACTAAAAAAACATATATCAAACCTTTAGCCTAAAATTCCCACCAAACAGTTACACACAATTAGCAGACTAGTTGATCTGGATGCAAATAACATGATTTTTTATTTTTTAATACGTTTTTTACGATAAAATAAAAATGTTGGTTATACTATCAAAAATAAAAAATCAATAACGTGCGAACAAATGAAATAAAAAAAATAATAAATCAAATAAAAACAATAAATGCATATTGTAAAAAATAATGAATAAAATAAAAACAATAAATAAATGCATATTGAAAAAAAATAATAAATATGTACAATAAAAAATAATAAGTAAAGAATAATAACTATTTAGGATTCTAACTTCCAGCAGAATATTTCATTCAAGATCAAATTTTCGAAATATTTATATCAAACTTTTACAAACAAATAGTTAAATTTTTTTTTTGTATGTATATATACAATTTTAACCAGGATAACTTCACTTTTTTTTCATCGGGGGGGGGTAGCCTACCCGAATAAGAGAAAGAACTGCGAGAGGCGGAAGGTAGATCCTATGACGAGAAGAACCAAATATGGAGTATATGAAGGCGGCATGGTCAATGCAGAGCCGTGAAGATAGCAGTTTTTTGAAGGTGAGTCAAAAGAAGCAAGTTTTCCCGAATGTAATTATTAATTTAACATAATGTGAATTAAAACATATCCTAGATTTCAGAAAGTTCATTGAACTTAGTATTGGACACTTGTCATGTCAAAAACCATTTTTTAAGATCAAAAAAGTAATTAATTTTTAATTAAAAAAAATAGTGAAAGGCGAGAGAAAAACGTGATTTCTTGAGTATATTCATTCAGAGATGTTTATTTAGAGGAAGTACGTTTTTGTGTCTGATTTCATAACTTAAAATATCGTCTGCACTTATTAATTAGTATAAATGAGGCCATCACCTCAAACCATGAAGATTGGGTCCCAAAACGTGTAAATCCGATCATTAGATCAAAAGTTATTCAGGGTGATCCATTTTTTTGAGCACTGTACATTACAAATAAGGAATATGTGCAATGTGCAAAATAAAAAACTGAGCACTCTGAATAACTTTTGATCTAATAAGCATATCTTCATATTCTAGGTTTTAGGTCAATCTTAAAAGTTCGAAGGGGTGTTCTCAAATAAGAGCAGATGATATTTTAAGTTACAAAATCAGAAACAAAAACCGAATTTCTCTAAACAAATATTCCTATTTTCGATGGATTCGGATCGTTGACCTCCAATATGTAGGGGGTAGCCGCAATCTGAAAAATATGGTCCCAATAACATACGACTTTTTCAAAATTTAATTTCTCAGAACTATAATACNCGTAACTGAGTGTCTTTTTTGGTAGCATGAGTTACCAAGCTATTTTAATTAAAATTTCAAAAAGTTAGAGATTCTTAGGATTTTTAATGGTATCATTAAAAAAAACAGAAAAATTGTAATCAACCTAAATTTTGTTGAAAGAAAATAAGTGCAATATTTATTATTGCATCGTATTTGAAAGCTAGATTTCTAAAAATCTGTAGCATGAGGAATTACCCTAATGTGAATTAAAAGTACTGTGGAATTACCCTACTGTGGAATTGAGTACTGTGGAATTACCCTAATGTGAATTAAAACATATCCTAGATTTCAGAAATTTCATTAAACTTAGTATTGGACACTTGCCATGTCAAAAATCATTTTTTAGATCAAAAAACAAATTAATTTTTAATTTAAAAAAATAGTGAAAGGCGAGAGAAAAACGTGATTTCTTGAATATATTTATTCAGAGATGTTTATTTAGAGGAAGTACGTTTTTGTGTCTGATTTCATAACTTAAAATATATCGTCTGAACTTATTAATTAGTAAAAATGAGGCCATCACCTCAAACCATGAAGATTGAGTCCCAAAACATATAAATCCGATCATTAGATCAAAAGTTATTCAGGATGATCCATTTTTTTTTAGCACTGTACATTACAAATAAACAATATGTGCAATGTGCAAAATAAAAAACTGAGCACTCTGAATAACTTTTGATCTAATAAGCAGACCTTCATATTCTAGGTTTTAGGTCAATCTTAAAGGTTCGAAGGGGTGATCTCAAATAAGAGCAAACGATATTTTAAGTTACAAAATCAGAAACAAAAACCGAATTTCTCTGAACAAATATTCCTATTTTCGATGGATTCGGATCGTTGACCTCCAATATGTAGGGGGCAGCCGCAATCTGAAAAATATGGTCCCAATAACATACGACTTTTTCAAAATTTAATTTCTCAGAACTATAATACCGATATCGCTTACATTTCGTATTGTCATTGCAGTTTTTACAATGATGCTAAAAAAAAAAAAAAAAAAAAAAAAAAAAAAAAAAAAAAAAAAAAAAAAAAAAAAAAAAAAAAAAAAAAAAAAAAAAAAAAAAAAAAACGCATATTTTATAATCTAAAAGTTTTTCGACTATTAGAAAAAAAAATTATAAATATCTACTAAAAGTTATATTTTGTAAGGAATTATCTTTGGATAAACGAATTTTATAATTGTGTGCTAAAATTTTTCCATTCGCTTAATAAGTTTTAGAGTTAAGGAAAAATACGCGAAAAGTAGAATTAACATTATACGGGGGCCAAACTTTGGGCCGCTCTCCTGAGAAAACTGTAGGGAACATGTTTTCCAGATAGCGGCTATCCACTCACTATACTTTGGGGAAGGAAATCTTAATCCGCCGGAGAAAAAAAAAGTATGTTTATTCAGAGAAAGTACGTTTTCGTGTCTGATTTCGTAATTTGAAATAACGTCTGCACTAATTTTATCATATTTGAGGTCACCCACTCAAACCATTAAGATAATTCTAGAACGTGAAAATCCGATCATTATACCAAAAGTATTTCAGGGTTGTCCGTTTATTTTTTCACGCTATGTACATTGCATATAACAATATTTATATTTTAATTCATTTTATAAACTTTGAAACTCCTCGAGGAAATTTTTTTAAACATTTTCTTACTTTTTCTGCATTGAAAAATAAAAAATAAGGAAATTACAGGGTACGACATTTGCATGCTCACGCCCCTTCTTTCTCTTGTAACAAAAATAAGCAGGTCACAACCTTCTCCCCTCCCTTTCTTTCAAAGTTTAAGTAATCCTTGCACAACCCCTCTGCAAAACAAAAAAAAATTGCCATTCTAAAAATTTTTTTAAGTGATCGTAATAGTACTTCAATTTTGTTTCATTGAAATAGTTACGTTCGAATCGTAACATTACATAATTAATACTATATTTATTTTATTAAATTATATTATTTTCGTCAAATTACCTTTTAAACGTTTTAAATTTTTCATAATTATAAATGCTTTTGGGGGGTTTAAGAAAAGAAATGACATTGAAAATTTCCTCTAATCACTACTCCGGGCGCTTACGCCTAGGCGCCATGAGCTACATAATTTATACTATATATATTTTATTAAATTATATTATTTTCGTTAAATTACCTTTTAAACGTTTTAAATTTTTCATAATTATAAATGCTTCTTGGGGGCTTAAGAAATGAAATGACATTGAAAATTTCCTCTAATCACTACTCCGGACGCTTACGCCAAAGGCACCATGAGCTACATAATTTATACTATATTTTATTAAATTATATTATTTTTGTAATTACCTTTTAAACGTCTTAAATTTTTCATAATTATAAATGCTTTTCGGGGGCTTAAGAAAAGAAATGACATTGAAAATTTCCTCTAATCACTACTCTGGACGCTTAAGCCTAAGGCGCCATGAGCTATGGATACACTTTAGGTCAGTAGAACTAATAAGGTTTTGATAACGGCCAATTCATCCAGGACGCTGGCGTAATTTCCTGCAACGCTGAAGTTTGATGAAATAGATGTGGGCCATTGATCCACATATATATCTCGAGATAGACCACAAGGAAAACACTTTTCTTTTCCTCCAATCGCGATGAGAATTTTATTGTCATTCAAAAAGGATTCAAGGGAAATAAGATTAGACATTTGTTGAAAGGAAACATTATTATTTTCATTTCAAACAAACGAGATTTTTTTTCCCCCACTAAAAATAAGAGAAGATTTAGTTTCTCATTTTCTTTTTGACGGTTGAGAAAAGTAAAGAGGTTATAATAGTAATGAGAATTTGCACAGCTTTAAAAAAAAAGTTTAAAATTTAGTGTTATTTCTTTTATTAAGAAATGTTTAAAAAATATTCAATATAGGATTTGAGTATCATAATATGTCTAATGTTACATTAAAATCGCTCAGTAAATTAGAAAGTTTAAATTTGAATAACAGGAAAATGCTGTATTTTTTAATGTTACGTCGATTTTTTTTTCTTCCCTTGAATAATGATTAATTTTAATCGGA